GTGACCACGCTTGTATTATGTAGTTTTTTGTATTCAAACAAAAAACGATTGGGCAACTGATGAAATACGTAGTGTTACAATAAAAGTCAAATAAAGGTACAACACGTCACAGGGGAAAGATTGAGCGAGAAGGCGCCGTCAAAAATAGGAAGTGAACGGTCGCTGATTTGCTACTAAATCGGGTGTGTCAGTGCCTTGTCATCACCGTACTGACACACTCAGTTTTCCGGACAGCCCCATGACGGACGCCATGATGCTTTCATACTTATCAGTCACTCAAATTAAGGTTAGCCACCTTTGCATACCGCTTACTCAGTGGGTCAGGGAAAAGCGTTCGGGGGAACCACGTAGCCCTGGTCAGCAAGTGTTATCTGCTGCGGTCGGTAATGCAGCTTAACGATTGTGGAAGTTAAAACGAATGAATACGGAACCATGTGGTGTCGAATCCACTACAATGAGGCGAATTGGAATAACTAATGCAGGGTTCTGAAGGTAATTTAGGAGGATATTACCATATACTGATGAAAGCAGTGATTTTATTGAATGAAATGAGGACTCCCAGAAACACCACTTGTCGTAACTTTGATCTGACGGGTAAATGCATAGACATAAATTTTCTGCGGGGTGCGTGTACTACCAAACAGAACCATATTGATGTTGACAAGGAAACCAGTAACTTACGTCGCCGCAGTTCCATCCAAATTTGTGCCGTCTGGCAGACGGATCATCGATGTTTCGCTCTGTAGCTTAGTCTTAAAGTTCACCTATTGCTAATCCTCCAAAAGACAAGGAACTGTTAATTATTTTCATCTCGGCATTCGTGCTTGTAAAAAGCAGCTTGGCTTTTAGTGGCTTTTGAGTGTACTACCATTCAGTGTCGTCCCAACTGTGAGTATCTCAGGCATTTGCTCTACGTTTGGAATAATAAACGCTTGGTGCAATTTTTAATCAAGAGATTATTATATGTGATTAAAGAAAAGAGCCACGGAATGGGCACAGAGCACGGACAAGACTCACAGGCCGCAATACCGTCGGGCTGACCAATCCTACGCAGGAACACTCATTGTGCACGGTTTGTGTTCAAACCGCGAAACTTCCGGTTGGAAACTAGGCGCCCTAATTACCAAGCCATCTGAAGAAAATTCAATCCATTAAAATTAAAGTTTACTCTCCCTTCTGGGGTACTCACCTTTACGCTGTAGTGGCCTGGCTACCCAATAAGATAGTTTATCAGGAGTGTGTGGCAAAGAAATAAAAATAATTACGCTAGGTTGGGTATACAAAAGTCAAGAGATCGGATGGAACAGACTCACTAAAATTGTTCTCTTTAAAATAGTTCGTCGTTGGCCCAGGTCAGCAAATAAAATATAATCCAATTATGTCGGCCCA